CAGACAGATTAAGTCACCAGGAAATAGCGCTGCCACATTTTATTTCATCAGAGAACTCAGATATGAACTCCGCTCTTTCTGAAGGACAACTCTTGCCCATTTGGATGTGAAAACTAGGGCTGTCACGGTAGATCGATGCATCGATACCACTATCGATGGTTGGAGGTATCGATAGTTTTTCGCCCATCGCGACGTATCAGCAAAAGATTTCAAAGGGGAAATGTCCCATTGGACTGAGGCGAGTCCAGTGCAATACAGTCCGTTCGTGCGGGGAAAAGAAGAGGTGGCGTGACCCGCATGGGCTTGCAATTTCTTATCACGATCAAATTCTGGAAATGCTGGGATATGAAAGACGAGAAGGGGGAAAAAAACATGTTGGATCGGAGACAGGAAGTGGGAAAGGAGAGGGAGAGAAGTCGAGAATATTTTTTAAGTCTTCTGTTTCAGTCTTCTGCTCGATCTCAGGTGCATGCTGCGAAAGTGGACTGTTCTTATACTCCCTTGACTTCGAAACGTACATTGGTTAATCCCCCTCTATATTCCTGTCCTCTTTAGAATGCAGGCCTAAGTTTTATTTTTATTTTTAACTTTCCCTTGGGCATTACCTCTTTACTTAAGGTGAACCCAAAGTGAATTTCTTACTTGGATGTTGCTTATTCTAGGGCTGTACCGATGTTTCGACAACCGCCGGTATGGCACAATCGACATGTTTGCTATCTGCCGGTGCCAATATCCNCCTCTTTACTTAAGGTGAACCCAAAGTGAATTTCTTACTTGGATGTTGCTTATTCTAGGGCTGTACCGATGTTTCGACAACAGCCGGTATGGCACAATCGACATGTTTGCTATCTGCCGGTGCCAATATCCAAAGAAGACCGTGTAGGACGACGAAAAAGAGAAAAAAAATTATGTGAACGGGCTTGGCAACTGATTCTCAATGGCAATAAGGAAAAATTAGGGCTGTCCTGATGCATCCATTGATGAATGGATATCATCTTCGATAGTTGGAGGCATGGTAGGTTTCATTACTCGTTGCGTTACCTTCCCTCCCGCACCCCCGAATACAAGCGTGAGATTATGGAAGACAGATAGAGATCCGCGCTCCGATCGAGGCAAGAAACTAAGTCAAACTTCCGCCCGATCGCGACGAGAAAAAACTGAATCCTCTTAAGCACCCCTTCCCCCCCCCCCCCTCGATGCAACGATACACAATCGATAGTTCAGGTTGATGCATCGATGTTTTTAAAACTGCTATCGTGACAGCCCTAGAAAAAACTATACATATTAAATACACGTGCAATGTTCAAGCTGACGTGTAATGTTACACTATGCTGCAAGCATGGTTGACCTAGTTTCAGCGGATGAGAAAGAGGATTCTCATAGTATCAAAACTTGTTGCAGTTAGGACAAAGATAATCATATAATTCTGATTGAACTCGTTTGAAGTCTGCCAATATGACCTATGATCACATAATTACTTATTTTTGCATACCTCACTGAGTAATCAACAGCTGTGACGAGGAGAGCATAAGCAAGACTCACAAGAAGCAGGGTTCCTGGAGATGACATCACCGATGATCCAAGCAGTTTCCCCTTCACTTCTCAGCATGCCAAGAACCTGATCCACGTGGACTTTATCCATGATGAGCACCATCCCCAAGCCCAAGTTGAAAGTTTTCAGCATTTCCCTTGCACTCACGTTTCCTGCCAGAACCAGAAATCTTCAATTGAGGCTCCATTGCAAGCATGCTTTCCAATGTTAATCTGCTTCTAACAAAAGGCTTGCATAAGGCAATAAACAAGCTTGGTCTACTAGTGTGAGTCTCTTGTCAGCACAAAGGAACTTCATTAGCGAAGGGGATGGAATATGCATATGGGTGACTAGATGTGCTGAGTCAAGAAAACGGCTAGCACCCCTGCCCAGTAGTAGATTGCATAGGAACCTGGGAAGCCTGGTCCCTCCTGGAGCCTTTACCAGAGTTATATGGAGTCTACATGAATATGAAGTACATAATCTTGAAATATTTAAACTTTATGTAGTGAATTTGAAGCCCACTGTAATGAGAATTCACTGTAATAACATCAACATTGGCACTCATATTCACATTTCCCCCATTGACTAAGGAGTCTACGGGGCAGGACTGACCATGCAATGCTATCCAGGGAAAGACAGGAGGGATGTTCCAGGAATGAGCATCCAAAGAGACAGCACATTCTTGAGGAAGGATGCGACAAACGTTCCCTGGCAATCCTCCTCCCGTGATGTGGGCACACCCCTTCACCAATCCCAACTTGATTATTGGCAGAACACTCTTTACATATATCAGGGTTGGGGTCAACAGTGCATCTCCTGAAATAGATGATAAAAAAAAGAGCTAGCTAATAAGCAATAATAGCCATTAGAATGGCAATGATCAGAACCAACATTTTTGTTTGGATTCTCATTTGACTTCTATGAGCAGATTTTTTAAATGAAGAAGGAAACATGAAAAAAAAGTTATAGTATGGGAACACTTTGTTATTGTGATGGGGTATTGCTCATCCTGAATCAATATCCTGCAGCTGATCCTGGACAAAGGAATGCACAGATGAAACTGCACAGCACATGCCAACCATAAGAGCAAGTAAAAGCTTTTACTTAGTATCATCCTGGAAGATATATCTAAGTTATCAGTAATCAAAGCTTTCACCGATTTTGGAGCTCAGGATGCTGCAGTTAATAGAGAGAGATTTTGTCAGGCAGGAGTCTTATTGAAGAGAAAAAATTACGAAGGAACAAAAAAGGGTAAAAGTAATTCCAATTCAGTGGGTATGGTGACTAGCTGAAGTTAAATCTGATGACACTGACTTCTCCATTCGGACAGGTGAGTGGTTTATGGGAACTTATGGCCAAGCCCCCTTTTTAACTTTTCATATCAAAAGTACAAAAATGTAGATTTTGGTTCTCTAATAGGAAGATCCAAAATCAATCAATGCCCTCAAGATGTCCCAGCATAGAATTTGGCAGATGAGACTGCAAATGAAGACTCCAACCAAGACAACAATAACTTTTGAGATTTTTATAGCACAATAGTAATGAAATTTCTTGATATCAGGCTGTGACGTAGCAAGAAATTTCGGCCCCCCCCCCCCCCCCGCCATAAAAAACTCATTTCCTCATAACAGGTTTGTTGTTCACTGTATCAATGAAATAAAATATGATATTGAAGCATGACAAATCAGTAGATATGGCTCAGTTTGTCCTTTTTTGAAATGTCTTGTGTCGTACCCATAATGATAGAGAAAAAAAGAGGCGAATTTTGATATTCTGCAGTAGCTCTGTTTCCAAGTTATTTGCAAGCTCAATGAGCTCATTTTGGATTTGAGGATTCAGATAAATAATTTTTCCATTGGGTTTGTGAAGAAGCTCCTTCAACACAGGAACAAACCCAACCAAGAGCTCCACCCAAGAGAGAAAATTCCCGTTGTACGCTTTACCGATTTTTCTCTATGGCCGCGAAACGCTTGGGCAGGTGTAGCCAAAGTAAGAGTTATTTTAATCAAGTGCTCAAGCACTTGCTACCAGATGGATTTTTAATGCTGTACTTGACGCTCGGCTCCGTCATCAATTGTGCCATTCTGCTTCCATTGGACAAAGGTCATGCAAGATGAGAGGTGTGCAGCTGCTTTAACACGGTCCTAAATTTTTGCGAACGTCCACGCAAGACACGTATGCCCGTAGACCAGGTTGAAAGGTATTTTGAGTCCTTTCTGTCAGCAAACAGTCAACAAGGCTCACCGTAAGCGGCGTCCAATTTTCGGGAATAACACAGCCAGGTTACTGGGATGGACAGTCCAGATTTCGTTGCGGTACTGCCATGTGATTCTGAGAACGAGCGGTCTCGAATTTCATCCCTTGGGTAGGGTCCCTTTGGCCAGCATGTCCTTGGTCCTTGCTCCAGAACAAATCTCTTCATTTGGGAGGTGACTACATCTGTTGGGAAGTTTCCTCTGTCGGATGAATGTCGGTCTCGACATGCAGTTGCATGACCCAGGCCGCTTGGCGCTGGCTCGCTTACATCCGCTAGAGCCACGTCGTTCAGGGGCGTCTGTCCCGACGTCGCCGCGTGAAACGATGGAATGATCTTCCGAAGCAACTCCAGGATCGTCCCTAGCATCCATTTTCCCTGGAGATTATTCTCAGTGGCTTCACCTTGCGGTTCTTGGGGATCGGTTTCGAAAGTAGCTGCATTATCGGAGTTAAAAGCTCCTCCGGCAAAAAAAGCAATCTTCATCAATCAATTAATCTTCATTTATTGTGGCTCTCGATCTGCTTGCTGTCGTTTTTTCCTCTTTGAAGCACCACTAGTCTTGCTACTCATTACAAATAATCACAAGGAAGAATAACTCAAAATTTCTGTAATTTACGTTCTGTATAACTTTTGGTGAGATGAATCAACTACTGAATGATGGCGCTCACCACCGAAGTTAACGGCAAGTGACCCTTTTTTCCCGGTTACGACACGTTTATGTAACCTATGAGTAAGGACGAGGTAGGCCTCGCGCGTTAGGCCTACAAGGCGATGTAATTCTAGGCTATGGGCAAGGCGCCAGCCAGGGTGCAGATCTTCCATCATATTAACTCACAATGCTATGGCCTAACGATGGGAGAGCTGCCTTCTCCAAAGATAAGTAAAACAAGTCTAAACTTGCCTGTGATGGGTTGATAATCTTACGGTTTTAAGAGTCAGTCAGTCCCCCCCCTATCCCCACCGCTGGCCTGAGTAGCATGCAGACTTTAGATTGAACACGGTGATTTCTACTCCGTATTGCGACCTTGCTCATCGGATGTGGATGGAGGAGAAAAGAACCATATATCACGTTTCCTGCCAGAACCAGAAATCTTCAATTGAGGCTCCATTGCAAGCATGCTTTCCAATGTTAATCTGCTTCTAACAAAAGGCTTGCATAAGGCAATAAACAAGCTTGGTCTACTAGTGTGAGCCTCTTGTCAGCACAAAGGAACTTCATTAGTGAAGGGGATGGAATATGCATATGGGTGACTAGATGTGCTGAGTCAAGAAAACAGCTAGCACCCCTGCCCAGTAGTAGATTGCATAGAAACCTGGGAAGCCTGGTCCCTCCTGGAGCCTTTATCAGTTATATGAAGTGTACATAAATATGAAGTACATAATCTTGAAATATTTAAACTTTATTTATGTAGTGAATTTGAAGCCCACTGTAATGAGAATTCACTGTAATAACTTCAACATTGGCACTCATTTACTCACATTTCCCCCATCGACTAAGGAGTCTACAGGGCAGGACTGACCATGCAATGCTATCCAGGGAAAGACAGGAGGGATGTTCCAGGAATGAGCATCCAAAGAGACAGCACATTCTTGAGGAAGGATGCGACAAACGTTCCCTGGCAATCCTCCTCCTGTGATGTGGGCACACCCCTTCACCAATCCCAACTTGATTATTGGCAGAACACTCTTTACATATATCAGGGTTGGGGTCAACAGTGCATCTCCTGAAATAGATGATAAAAAAAGAGCTAGCTAATAAGCAATAATAGCCATTAGAATGGCAATGATCAGAACCAACATTTTTGTTTGGAGTCTCATTTGACTTCTGTGAGCAGATTTTTTAAATGAAGAAGGAAACATGGAAAAAAAAGTTATAGTATGGGAACACTTTGTTATTGTGATGGGATGGCTCATCCTGAATCAATATCCTGCAGCTGATCCTGGCCAAAGGAATGCACAGATGAAACTGCACAGCACATGCCAACCATAAGAGCAAGTAAAAGCTTTTACTTAGTATCATCTTGGAAGATATATCTAAGTCATCAGTAATCAAAGTTTTCAACGATTTTGGAGCTCAGGATGCTGCAGCTAATAGAGAGAGATTTTGTCAGGTAGGAGTCTTCATTAGAGCAGAGAAAAAATTACGAAGGAACAAAAAAAGGTAAAAGTAATTCCAATTCAGTGGGTAAGGTGACTAGCTGAAGTTAAATCTGATGACACTGCCTTCTGAGTGGATTATGGGAACTGATGGCCAAGCCCCCTTTTTAACTTTTCATATCAAAAGTACAAAAATGTAGATTTTGGTTCTCTAATGGGAAGATCCAAAATCAATCGATGCCCTCAAGATGTCCCAGCATTGAATTTGGCGGATGAGACTGCAAATCAAGACTCCAACCAAGACAGCAATAACTTTTTGAGATTTTTTTAGCACAATAGTAATGAAATTTCTTGATATCAGGCTGTGGCGTAGCAAGAAATTTCGGCCCCCCCCCCCGCCATAAAAACTCATTTCCTCATAACAGGCTTGTTGTTCACTGTATCAATGAAATAAAATATGACATTGAAGCATGACAAATCAGTAGATATGGTTCAGTGGGTCCTTTTTTGAAATGTCTTGAGTCGTACCCATAATGATAGAGAGAAAAAGGCGCATTTTGATATTCTGCAGTAGCTCTGTTTCCAGGTTATTTGCAAGCTCGATGAGCTCATTTTGGATTTGAGGATTCAGATAAATAATTTTTCCTCTGGGTTTGTGAAGAAACTCCTTCAACACAGGAACAAACTCAGCCAAGAGTTCCACCCAAGAGAGAAAATTCCCGTTGTACGCTTTACCGATTTTTCTCTATGGCCGCGAAACGCTTGGGCAGGTGTAGCCAAAGTAAGAGTTATTTTAATCAAGCGCTCAAGCACTTGCTACCAGATGGATTTTTAATGCTGTACTTGACGCTCGGCTGCGTCATCAATTGTGCCATTCTGCTTCCATTGGACATAGGTCATGCAAAATGAGAGGTGTGCAGCTACTTTAACACGGTCCTAAATTTTTGCGAACGTCCACGCAAGTCACGTATGCCCGTAGACCAGGCTGAATGGTATTTTGAGTCCTTTCTGTCAGCAAACAGTCAACAGGGCTCACAGTAAGCGGCGTCCAATTTTCGGGAATAACACAGCCAGGTTACTGGGATGGACAGCCCCGATTTCGTTGCGGTACTGCCACGTGATTCTGAGAACGAGCGGTCTCGAATTTCATCCCTTGGGAAGAGTCCCTTTGGCCAGCATGTCCTTGGTCCTTGCTCCAGAACAAATCTCTTCATTTGGGAGGTGACTACGTCTGTTGGGAGGTTTCCTCCGTCGGATGAATGTCAGTCTCGACATACAGTTGCATGACCCGGGCCGCTTGGCGCTGGCTCGCTTACATCTGCTAGAGCCACGTCGTTCAGGGGCGACTGTCCCGACGTCGCCGCGTGAAACGATGGAATGATCTTCCGAGGCAACTCCAGGATCGTCCCTAGCATCCTCTTTCCCTCAGTGGCTTCACCTTGCGGTTCTTGGGGATCGGTTTCGAAAGTAGCTGTATTATCGGAGTTAAAAGCTCCTCCGGCAAAAAAGCAATCTTCATCAACCAATTAATCTTCATTTATTGTGGCTCTCGATCTGCTTGCTGTCGTTTTTTCCTCTTTGAAGCACCACTACTCTTGCTACTCATTATAAATAATCACAAGGAAGAATAACTCAAAATTTCAGTAATTTACGGTCTGTATAACTTCTGGTGAGATGAATCAACTACTGAATGATGGCGCTCACCACCGAAGTTAACGGCAAGTGACTTTTTTCTCCCGGTTACGACACGTTTATGTAACCTATGAGTAAGGATGAGGTAGGCCTCGCGCGTTAGGCCTACAAGGCGATGTAATTCTAGGCCATGGGCAAGGCCATCACAACTTTGGGACACTTTTAAAAGACACACTCTGTACTTGCAAGGCGCCAGCCAAGGTGCAGATCTTCCATCATATTAACTCGCAATGCTTTGGCCTAACGATGGGAGAGCTGCCTTCTCCAAAGATAAGTAAACAAGTCTAAACTTGCCTGTGATGGGTTGATAATCTTACGGTTTTAAGAGTCAGTCAGGCCCCCCCCCCATGGGCGATGACCATTTACTTCTTTTTACTATTACTTTTATGGGTTTTTTGTTTTTGTATATATTTATTCACATTAAGGAAAATTTCGCATACTTGATGGGAATTTTGGGCCCCCTCCCCCACCCCGCAACTGCAGGGGCGGCTTGGGCGGTTGCTACGCTTCTGATATCAGGGCATCTCAAGCCTAATCCATGCCAATTTTGGAAGGAGTCTTACCCAAAGTTGTTACAGAGGAGAGAAAGGGAGCTTGATCCACAAGAGACAGGTGATTCTTGTCCAGGATTCTCCTGACAAGACTGAACCCATTGCTGTGGAGCCCAGAGGAAGCAATCCCAACCACGACATCACCGGTATGAATTTCCTGGAGCTTTGGCAAGAGCTGCTCCTTTTTCCCCATGCCGATGACGAATCCTGCCAGATCGTACTCTCCCGCTCTATACATCCCTGGCATCTCTGCTGTCTCCCCACCTATCACACATCAAGAGTTCGTTATTTCCATACATAACACAGTAGTGAAAGAAAATGGGACAGACAGACACACCAACAAGAGCACAGGATGCCATGTGGCATCCATCGACGATGCCAGCTATGACGTCACTGGCCGAGCCTGCCACCAGCTTTCCACAGGCATAGTAGTCGAGAAAGAAGAGTGGTTTTCCTCCTTGACAAAGGATATCGTTGGCACACATGGCCACCAAGTCCACTCCCACTGACTTGTGCTTCCCAACTTCCTGGGCCAACTGATCGAGGGAACATGGAAATTAAATATAGCAGCAAACTGCCCGTCATCAAATACATGCCTAGTATTCAATCAGCACGAGGCAGGTGATGCCACTGTCGCTTTACCATAGAAACATCTCAACTGACCCCTTGTTTGAAGCTTTTGTCGTAAAGATACGACAACAGACCATGGACTTAGTAATGTGCTGGCTACAATCATGAAAGTAATTCCTTATCTCAACTTCATTAAGGTAGATATAAAACATAAAAATTGCTGAATCGAAATTTCACTTCATAATTTTTGTTAGGAACCGAGGGCCCAAGAGCCACTTTTCGAGACTTCGAGGTCACCGGAGTGGACAGGAAGTAGGTTCAAAGGTCGCAATTTCGATGGGTCTCTTCAGAGGCCTTTTATCTACGGCATCATTCGACGCAGAAATTAGAAATTAGCCTCAATCTCTTTCTTAGATTCGATTCTAAATAATGGTGCAAGATGCATGATGATGCTACTACGGGTTCTGGATGAGGAACGGATTTTGCGAAAATCTCGTCTCGTTGCGCCTCACGTTTGCGCCTCCCATATCTGTTGTGAGCGACGCATCGAGAGATTCAGTTAAAAAAAGTTTATGCACCATGTCAAGTTGGATCTCCATGCAAAGTGGCGTTCAAATCTTGACAGTTTTTGCTTGCCATTTGAACATCGTCTCGAAAATCACGCGTTTTTTGCTATTTCGGCCTTTGGACCCGAATTACTCGGGAACGAAGAGATTTTACCATTTTTGTTCATAGATCATTACAGAAGACAGAAGACATGAAGGGCTCTGTTCAATTATATGCCAATATATTCATCAATCTCTGATTTACAGAGATTTTACTGATGTCAAGTCGGAGAAACATGCAGGAATCTGTCACGTTTTCCCCTGCATGCCTCCTTCCTTGCATAGCACCTAGAGCTGCCTCCGCGCATCATGTGGCAGAATGACCCACGGTTCAGATGATACTTGAATCGTCTTCCTATCGAATGGTGGGACTTTATCCACGCGGAAGTTTCCTTTCCCCGCCTAAAACATGAGCAGACGACAGGATTCACGCACATTCTCTCCCATTCCCCTTTCACCCCCCCCCCCCCCCTCCTCCCAGACTCTCGTGCCAGTGCGTGTCTGGCACTCGCTTTCTTGTCTCGCCGTCTGGACGTGTGACTGGGACAGGGATATTCTCCCCTTCTACCTTCTCGTTCTTCAAAATCTCATCCCCATGTAGTGTACTGAATCCAGTCTCGGGCGAGAAAATAGATTCGGGATTCTTGATTACCTTCTCGGCTTATGTTTCCCAGAATGCAATTAGGCATTGCAGAGTTCGTCAAGAAATAAACAATAAAAAGCAAATTTGAGAAATACTAATATAATAAACAGATTACTGCGACTGGATTCGGTTTTTTTTTCTTCTAATTCTATTTCATGTAGGGGATAGTCGACCGTGAGTTTCTGCATATGGTTCTTTTCTCCTCCATCCACATCCGATGAGCAAGGTCGCAATACGGAGTAGAAATCACCGTGTTCAATCTAAAGTCTGCATGCTACTCAGGCCAGCGGTGGGGATAGGGGGCAAACAAGATCAGGAGAAGGGATACCGAAATTCATGTCTTGCGTAAAGAGGCACAAGCAAGAAATAGGTTCCCTGCTGAAGATAGATAGCTACAGATAGCGGAGGGTAGTTCCTCCCCTATCGTTGATGCACCTTTCCAAAGCCATTTTGAGCTTTGCTCCGCAGCCCAGAAACTTCTTTAGCGTAAATTCAACAATTTGGTTCAAAGTCTTCTTCGAGAAAGTCTTGCTCGTTGGTACGAATACTGCTAACAAACGTTTCTACCGCATATTTCTACTTTTCATCGACAAGATCTTCGTTGCTCCAACTCAGGCAATGAGCTGATGAGAAGCAAGGCTTCATTCAAATTATCAACAAAATATCCTCTTCTTCCTCTCAGTATCCTTAAAATCAACAATCAAGAAATTTTGATAGGAAATTAATGTCATAGATAAATGTTCTGAATTATTTATGTATTTAGTCTTACATGGACCTTTGGGAAGGGGACACGGTGAACCACAACGAATAAAAACGAAGATTAGCAATTTCTAGGTTCGTAACCGATTATGGAGTTCAGATCCCCTGCAACAATTTCAGCTCTACACTTGGAGAACATCCATCCCTCAGGCGTGAAGAAATTCCAAGCGCTTGCGGTTATTTCCTATTACCTGTACGCATACTACCCTTAATTTCAACAGGCCCTCCTCCCATTCTACACCGAGAGAGAGAGATGAGAAATTTAAGTATACAATTGTACATAAAAGCAATACCTTGAGTTTGGTGCCAACCCCATCAGTGCTCGCAAGGAGGATAGAGCATCCCTCTTCCATCTCTTCCTTCAAATCCATGCATGCAGCAAAGCCTCCAAGGCCTTCAAGGACATTCTTTCCCTGCGTCCTCTTGGCCGGGCCTGCAATGCTTCTCACGAGCGAATCCCCCTCGGAAATGCTCACTCCCGATCCGGCGTAAGTCATGCTTCCTTGGTTCGAGATGGCACTGCCATATAAATTCCTATTACTAAAGTTGGCCTCGAACAGAGAATGTCACGCGATCAAAACACAAATAAAATACACAATTGAGAAAGAAAAAATGCATTAGGGTAGTACATGTAAAATGTATGATTGGAGCAACAGAACTGGAATTTTACCAGTAATCAATGCTATTCTCATTTATATTGAATGAGAACGGCTCAGTACAGAGAACATGCAGGCGATGACGTTATCCTGATAGCCACGTTGCTGCTCGCGCTGCTATTGGCTTGCCGGCCGCATAGACCGGTCATGATTGCATATGAATTCAAATACAGTCATGAGGTATCACGAATACCAACAGTATTCACAAGAGTGAGAGAAGGACTTCTTCGTGAATACGACTAATACAACTCTGACGAACTTCGTGAGAATTTTGCAATCGACGTTTACAGGAATGTGGCACCCAGCTTTCATGTCCTTCTAGCATTGTATCTCTCCCTAGAAATGCGATCGCTCGGTATACTTTGCCTTCCGTCTGACGAAAGCCACGGCAGCGGAAAGCGGAAAATTTCCGTTCAGGGTTTCACGAATTTCTGCCACTCGCTTTCCGCGCCCATCTCCGCTCCGTATAAATCCACCTTTATCTTCGCCGAGCGCATTCAGAGACCTACCGTTATTACGACCGATGAGGAGGACCTTACATTCACTCTTACTCAACTTCACGAGCCATTTCTTACCGCAATCGTCCGAAAGCTGTAAATCCTTTTCGGCTCTCGTCCTGTCCATTTCCCCCTAATGGAGAAACTTACCTTCGTATCGTGCCAAAAATCTTCTCGTTAAAGAAGTAGCCATTATCAGCCGAACCGCCAACCTACCCGACAGGATAGAGGAAAAGCGTCTCGCCACATCTCTCACCATGCAAGGGCCTTGGCAGCGATGTCTCTGCGGAAGAAAACGCCAGGGAAGGCGACACCCTTCGCCCTCGACAGGGACCCTGCCGCGGCAGCCAAGAGGCTCTCGCCCAGCCCGACGACGCACAGGACTCGCCCTCCACTTGTGACTAGACGATCGCCTTCCGTGTTGGTCCCCGCGTGGAACACCAGCGTCTCGTCGCCTCTCGTCAGACCTTCCCGACCGTTTAAAGAAGACTCTGTCAGACGCATACGATGAAATTTGATATTTGAACGAAGGGGACACTGAGGTGCATACATAAAATACCCTACATAACTTATATTTTCTGGACAGATATGGCATATGTGAAGCCAAAACGCCTGCAGTTCAAATTAAGGGAAAAAACAGGAATGCAAGAGGAATGAGGATTTACGGAGCAGCTCGAGTCAGGACTGAAATTTTCATCCTGCACTCCTCTCGAAAGCAGGGCGACAGAGGCAACGAGAAATAACTCTTGCACGGCATTTCTTTGTTTCCTGGACCAATAAGATTTTATATCCACGAAGGACTGTTGTTGGAAAATCCAGAAAGCTTTGAGACTTGTAGGCCCTATTGGGTTGTAGCTCAAAATCCACTGCCCTTAGAGTCATGTGAATGCAAACAGCTGCAATGAATTTGCACTATTTCTTTAATTTTCCCTTTTCATTTGTACGACTTTCTATTCCCCGGGTCTACCATCATGGCTTAAAGGTTTACAATTTGGCAGAATTAACCTGCTGAGACCAAAGCACTCTAGAAACCGGAACACTCTGTCAGCCGATGATCAAATCAATGCTGATCAAAGGAAACATCATAAGAACAAAGCCTACACGACTTACCTTGAATAGGTGTCCCCTTTTGAGTAAGAGGACCTGGATAACCAGGACTGACGAGGACAGTGCCTACAGCATATAAGCCATGCTTCCAGCCTACTTCTACAGAATTCAAGTTGCCATGCACACAAGCCTTCAGCCATAAAATGATAAAAGAAAAAGTCAGTCAGCACGAAGAGCAAGCACTGGCGCAAAAGCAACACAGCAACCAAAACTGCACTCAGCGGAGAAGCACAGAAAATAAGCGTGAGGACCTAAAGGGAAATTGCGAAGGCGAGAGAGAGTCTTTTTGACGAAATCTCACCCAGCAGATGTCGAAGAGGTCTGACCGAAGAAGCGGCATGAGGACTTGAGTCTCGGGATCCCCAAACCGGCAGTTGAATTCCAGAACCTTTGGCCCATTCTTTGTCAGCATGATCCCAGCATACAAAACTCCTGTACGCAGCATCACAAACCAAGATTCTTCCTCAGCCTTCAAAAGGGGACTCCATGAACTTTCAATAGAGATTAACTCTTTGAGAAGGCTCCAGCTTTCTAATTAAGATTAACAAGAAATAAAACTAGGGCTGTCAATCTATTTAAAAATTTAATCGATAAATCGAATTTTAATCTATACCTAGTTCCTCGTTGAATGTGGCTTAGTGCTGATAAATGCAGAGAGTCAATTGAATTAAACTTAAGAAAAGAAACACACGGGAAGCCCTTTGCCAGTTAGCCAACCCATACCGGAAGGATGCAACAATGTAACTTGAATGAATTCAGGTATAGAGTAACACTACATCACGCAGAAATTTGAAGATTCATTATGGAATCACAGGCAACACAGGATGGAAAGCAGGTTTCACGCTCGTTTCTTCTCTCGCCTGCCCCCGGCTCTCCCCCTCTTCCCGCTGCTTTCGTGGGGCTCTCACACACCTTCACCCACGCATTTACACGCACGCTTCTCGCTCCCCAGTTCTTATATTAACGTCTTTCCAGCGGCTCCAGCAGCGTGATCCTTGCCCGAATCTCCTCTTCCACGCGTTCCTTCCAGTTTCTTCATTCTTCATTTCCTGATGAGCTTCGTTTTGGAACATATTGAAAGCGATGGCTTTGCTTTTGTGAGCCTCCTTCCAAAAATTGTAGGTCATTTTTGCTGAAGAGAGAGCAGTGCGAAATCGACTTCCTTCTTCAAGCCATCATTTCATTTCATTCCCTTGACAAAGTGTTTATTTTCAGTTGTGCAAGACTATGCACTACACAGTCAAATTTTACGAAAGATAGAGGCATTCTGGGGCAGATTGGGGGGGGAGATGGGGGTAGGTTGAAATTCGATTAATCTCAACTAAATTTTAAAATCACTATTGAAACTTTAATCGAATAATCGGTCGATTAATCTAATCGAATTTACAGTCCAAATAAACCCACCAAATTAGACTTTAAAAATGCTGAACCAATGTCAACATAGATGCCGCTGCACTTGCACAGCATGTAAAAAGTATTTTCAACTGTCATCTTGTGACTGTTGACTGGAGGGGCATTGTCAGGTCCTTGGAGCACAATCCAACACTTAAGTAAAGAAGGAGAAATGTAAAATTAAGTCAAAAGAGTCTCAACTTGAGGCACTTCATACCTATGAAAGGAGTGCCTTCATCCTGTAGTGCCAATATGGTTTTCTCCAGGATCTCATGATGAATCCTTCTAAGAATTTCAGGGGTAAGAAATGGGGATGGGCAATATGCCCCCATTCCCCCTGTATTGGGGCCTTTGTCTCCATCACCCAAGCGTTTGTGATCCCCAACCCCTGGCATCATCTTCAGCTCCTTCCCATCGCTAAAAGCCATCACCTGAAATGTCAGCATCATTAGGATTACCAGGATTTAAAGCAAAAGGGTCCTGACCTCTGCCATTACCATGATTCTCACCAGAAGCTACACCGTTACCTAATGTCACCTTTCATAGTCTACAACATCATAACATGACTCTTAACCCTCAATGAATTACATTCATCAACCCTTTCTACCTTCTACCCCTCATTGCAAAAATTCTTCTATTATAAAACTGAATTCAAATATTAAATGAATGGGGAATGACCTCCAAGGCTCTTCATCCAAGACATGACCAAGAAAATGTCAGAAGACAGGTTTACTTTGGGAAGTAGGAGAAAAGGTGCATGGGACAGACCGAGACTTCCTGGCCTTCAAGACATTCTTCGATGATGATCACTCGACCGGCATCACCAAACTCCTGTGTGATGTCATCAACAGCCTTGCATGCACCCTCCTTTTCCTCTGCCACTATCACACCCTTCCCTCCTGCAAGTCCACTTGCCTTCACCACCAATGCCTGATATGAAGCACTATAAACAAAGACATGAGCATCATATCTGAAACTGATTCAAAAAGTTACTAAAAACATGAGGGCTAGAGTCCTCCTATTCCTATCCAATTAGCCTCTTTATTAATGAAGATCTCATTCTCAGAAACTTTTTCTGAAAGGAGTTTTAAAGTCACTTTAACTGAAGCTTCCAAAGATTTTATTCACAGATTCACACTCATTAGGGATGAGAAAAAAATAACAGGGAATTGAGATCTTGGGAATAGAGTGGGTGCAGCAATAGTTAAATAGCATCCTTCCCCAGTAACTAAATTTTTTCATTTTCCAGGAGGGCCAAGAACTTGTTTTGGGGAAGGAACCATGCTTGCAGTAGAATTCTTGGGTCATGCAAAACCTTTGATAGGCTAATGGACAGGAAATGTACCACTCCGGAGTTTCCAAAAACCAATTTCAAGAGCATAAATGTCAAAACTCAATTTTTGTGAAGAAAAACCACATTGCTTTCCTGACATTCCTAGGACTCTCAATAGAGGCTGGCTTGGGCTCACCTTTGAAAATCCAATTTCCATCTGCTTCTTTGTTGATAAATCATGATATATCTAAGCTTGTCATTAGTGACAATGTCCTAAACACACCTAGAGGTTTCTCCATAAAAAATTTCAAGAAAGATTTTGCAAAATTCCATGAGTTACTATTACTGGTTGCTGGCATCATGGAGAATCCACCTGGCACATATTTTCTTCAGTTCAAGATGTTCAGGCAGGATAATGCTAACCACTTGTCTTACATTTATCTGCAAGGCCTCTTGAATCTGCTTCTAGATTACATGACTGCATCCTTTTCTTGATTAATAGCAAATGTAGAACACAGATCTATTGTCATACTCAAAATTTGACTTCCCAGCTCTTAAAGCAGAAATCCAACATGACCCTGTGGCTATTGAAGGGGTTTGATATGCTAAAGCTTGGGACATTTGAAAGTCTGAAAAGCAAAGTGGTCTATCTGCAAAGATTTCTTGTCTCAAGCTCCACACAGAAAGAGTGAATATTCCAGTGACTATCACGTTAAAAAAGTGAGGAAAAGTGGTACATATTGATAGTTAAGTTTTTATATTAAGATGATTTATCTTTTACCCTCCTTCACCAAAAACTAAATCATTACATATTACCTTGACCTGAGTCTTCCATTAATATACCTATGCCATCTGTATGATCTCGAGCAAAGGTGATGAAAAATACAATGAGTGTCCTTTACACCTAAGGACCCACACTAATTATTGACAGTACCACAGTATACTATCTCAACTAGAAAGTTGGCTCAGTTTCAAGAAAAAAGATTGGTACAGTTGAATATCTTAAAATACTTCTATAGCCCCTCATGAAATCTTTATAAGATAGTTAATTACAAAGAATCAATTATAATGTGGTAGAATTGTTGATCCAAGTAAAGAAAAACTGAGTTATGCATCTGATGACAGGTTGCAACCAAATTATGGAATGTACTTTTCTGATTGTCAAATCTTGCAATAAATTGCTATTTCATATGCAGAGGGTAAAAAAAGGTTAGCAAGTTGAATAACAACAACTGTCAACTGAAGCCAGTACAGACATGTCTTATTCTACTACCTCACAAATGTTCATCCTAGCTGTTAATTGAATACAGTCATACCACTGTGCTCAAACATGATATGGTAGGAAGGTAACTAAATAGGAGACACAGAAACTCAGGAATACCTGAGAACATGGGATTTTGCTTCAGAGGGATTTGTAAAAGCTTTCCAGTGTGCTGTGGGAATTCCATGTCGGTCCATGAATGTCTTGGCAAATTCTTTACTGGCCTCAATCTGAGCAGCTGCCTTGGAAGGACCAAAACACGGAATCCCCTGTGCATTTAAAGAATCTGCTATCCCCTGGGCCAGAGGATCCTCAGGTCCAACTAATACCAGGTCAATTGCCTCTCTTCTGCACCACTCAATCACATCCTGAAAAAAATGCTGTATTGACTTTTGATGCAGTGAAAATCAGCTGCCAAGCCTGGATGAACCAGAGAACCTACTATGCAAACTGCAAGGCTGAGTATAAATTATTGGCATGGCCAAGAACTGGCTACATTGCCCAATAATGAAAAGCCAACATCAATGTACGAAGGTCACCCAAAAGTAAAGCCCCTAATTTTTTTCTCAGTTACCTTTATTCCTTAGTCCATTAAACTTGTACACATGATTACTTGGATTGTTGGGAAGAACAAGTCGTGCAAAAGTGGGTTTGGCATGTTCCTCCTCTCCCAGTCCAGACTTCAGTCCCCATTAGACTACCACCTCTTGGAGCCCTTTAAGGATGCTATATGCATCACTTTCAGAATGACAATCAAGTTCAACAAGCCATAAGTGGGTCCAGAAACCTTTTACAATAGTGGTATACAAGCCCTGGAACATCACTGGCAGAAATGTTAGGAAAAAAATGGTGATGAAGAGGAAAAATAATACACTGCTCTACTCCCAAAATTCCAAGTAATCAAGTGTACAAGTTTCATGGACTAAGGAATAAAGGTAACTGAGAAAAAAAATTGGAGGCATTACTTTTGGGGTGATCCTTATATAATCAGTATATTTTTTATTCAAAGGTTTACCAATCCATAATTTCATTCCTCTTATTGTCCTCAGTATTCCTGTTGTACCTATGACAGGCTTGTTAAGACTTCAAGGAAGGAAAGGAAAAGGGGCATACAAATGAAAGTAAGGAGTGATTTGGCAAACAATACTTGAGGTTCATCACAGAATGAAAGAAAGCAGTATATGAGGGAGTGAAAGGAGGACTGACTGGATGAGATTTGAGGTTCACTATGACATTGGAGGTTCTTGGAGTGATGTAAGTTCCTCCATTCCCAGGGGAAGCAAAGATTGTGTCAACACAAGGAGACTGTGCCAACTTCCAGCAGAGGGCATGTTCCCTTCCTCCACCCCCTATCACCAACACTTTCTTCCCATTCATAACTTTTCCTTGCTCTTTCTACTGCAGGGTATAGGAATTTAAATACTCAGTGCACCTGAGGAATTGAAAGTAACCCAATGTTGAGAGCACTAGGAATCACAAAATAATCTTATGACTCTAAAATGAATTTCAAAATTATGTATTACTTCAATGAGGAACAAATTTTTAACTAAAAATGACTGATGGCAAAGTTCCATTCAGGCAGATACAGCATCAATATCAGGTGCTCAGTAGCAAAGATCACCAATGACCTATAAAATTGTTGCCAATTCATGAAATGTTTTCAAAATTGAGTTGTAGTCCCAGTTTTTCACCATTTCTATTAACTGATGCACCTTCTGAATCCATTCCATGCTCCTTCTTATACCACAACCCAAAATTGCTTGCAAGTACAGGTTAATCAGAAGTGGTCTGATGAGTAACCTTCACCTTACTTTCCATTCACAGCTAATGATAGAAGAAACCTTCATGTAACATCAGTAAACAAAAATTTTGCATAACCAGAGAAAAGTCTTCCACCACTTATTCTAGTTCTTGGCTTATGGTGAAGATTTCCTGTTTCTATTTCAAGAAAAGGAGGTCTTTAAGGCTCAAACCTATTACAAATCAAATTACAAACCTCTTGATCGACTTCAGGCATATAAAAAATAATGGTTTAGAAAAATATATAAATTAGATTAAACCTTGTGAATTTCTCACATTTGAATGTGCCATTTGTACAGATGGCAGTGGTCCAGAGAAATGAGCCAAATCTGTGCACCATCAAACCTGAACTTGTAAATCTTTGTCTAGTTGTGGAGCCTTGAAGGGAATGACATGGAGGATCAAGAGAAGTACGTGAGCTGGGGTGTTCCCTCACCTGGCAACAGGCAGGTGAGGTAAACAAATAGTTCATATGAGCTTCAATCACTGACAGCATAAGGTAAGGGTGCATAGATTTGGCAATGTGGCAACTGGGCCTTTCCTGTCCCAATGCACTTGCTTTGCTGCATGTCTCTGTCAGCTCAATCCAACTTTTCCTATTCACGTGGAGGAGGGTAGCTCAGACTCCAGGGTATGCAGTCCATCCCACAAAATTACTCATACTTCAGAACAATGCCAGCAACATAAATGGCAGCCAGCATTTTCCTCTGCTTTCCTTGCATTGTTTCCATCTTCCTGTTCTTTAAGCAGCTAAGTCCCAAAAATTCTGACAAGTAGAAGTAGTGAAGATTATTCTGATAGTTCAATTTCCCAAAACTTCACCAAGAATGAGCCAAACAGAAATGATTATCTTGATTACTCAATAGCTGGTGTGTTCTTTTTTTTTAGGTTATCCATTTCAGGCACAAACATGCTCAACCTGAGAAGTATTAGGTCTGGGAAAAAGTATCTGTAACTTTTTTACCCATACCTTAGATACACTGTAACTTTTTATATAACAAACTTTATGAATCAAAATAATCTCCCTCACAATCTAAATATCACAATCAAAAAAATAATCACAATCTTTTTCCCATCTTTCCTTAAGAGAATCGATTCCTCTCTCAAAAAAACACCGCTTCCCGTGAGCCAAAGAAACCATCAAGTGCGTTTTTGAGTGCACCTTCGTTCAAGAACTGCTTCTTGAACATGAAGTTGTCCAGCGACCTGAATAGGTAGTAGTTCGATGGTGCAACGTCCGGTGAATACGATGGATGCGGCAGAACTTGCCAGCCGAAGTTCTCCAATTTTTGTTGAGTCTTTTTGGCGACGTGTGGTCTGCGTTGTCTTGCAAGAGGACCTTTTTCGATTGACCAATGCGGCCTGAGATTTAAGCAGGGCTTCCTGGACACGTTGTGGTTGTGTGCAGTAGACGTCCGCGTTGATGGACTGGCCGGTCTTCAGGAGCTCGTATTGCACTACGCCGAAACGGGCCCACCAAATGCAGGAAAAGAACCTTCTTTGGGTGTAAGTCGGGTTTCGGCATTTTGCTTGGGGGTTCATCAGGATCCAGCCAAGAGAACCCACTTCTCATCTGACATGATGATCCGGCCAAACATCGGGTCTTCCTTGCGACGAGGGACGCAACTTGTGAGGGACCCATTTGTCCAGTTTGCACACCTTTCCCATGGTGTGAAGGTGATTGGACACGGTTGTACGGTCGCAGCCGAGTTTGCTCACCAATTCAGACGTGTTTTGGTGCGGATCTTCTTCGATTATGGACCTCAGCGCATCGGTTTCGATGACGGATGGGTGTCCAGAACGGAGTTCATCTTGAAGAGTTCGATCTCAGCGTAAAAACTTTTCAAACCATTCATATGCCATGGATTTGCTTAAACAGTCATCGGGGTACAACTTCTTTATGCGACGGACTGCGTCGTTTGTCTTGTGTCCCTTATCGAACGGGAGAAGTAAGCAATGACGGACGTGGTCGTCAAGCCGCATTCTTCAATCGAGAGAGAAAACTTTTACCTGAATCCTATACACGGCAAATATACAAAATTTTACAGAGCTTTTCAGCCTCTTTCTTTTCATACATAACAGCAACAGAACAAGCATAGCCGGCGCGGCATGAACCCCTCAAGCTTAACCCGCTAAAAGTTCCGGATACTTTATCCCAGACCTAATAAATGCAGGCTACTAGATGGAATTCAGATTTGAACATTCACTGCTTCATGAGTCAAGTCCAGCTTAAATTTGGAGAAAAATTAGGACAGATGAAGACTCAATTCTCTGTAGCCCCACATTCAAGTTTAAAATCAAATGAAATATATCACAATTTTCATACTGCAATCTTAACCTTTTTCTATCATAGACTAAGAACAGATTCAAATAACTTCAAAGAAATAAGTCTCCCAGTGCATTCAAACATAACGAATGCAATGGTCAGCCGAAAATAAAATGTTTCAGGGGCTTCAGAGCTGGTACCTACTCATGTACTAAATAAATCTATTTCTGTTTCTACACCAATACTACTAATATAAAGATTTTTGTACTAGGGTAGTACTTTCGTACATCTTCGAGTGTGTACTGAGAGTAGTGAAACAACTGTTCTGAACATTGAACATCATATATAATCAAACCAATTCAAAATGACACACCTTGAAATGCTGGGAGGGCTGGATAAGCTACATATTACTGTATTTTGTGATTCCTTTTGCACTTCGAATAATGAATCTCAAAAGAGAGAATGGGGATGAAACCAGGAATAGGACCCAAATTCATTGAGGAGGTCAAAAGTCTTCATAGACTGCTACATCTCAGTCACAATCAGAGGAATTGAACAGCCAGTAATGCATGAAAGACATTGATGCCATATGCCATAATTTGCAGACACATTCACAACACACTGCAATAACTTGCACACCATGAGTATGCACTCTGTCCATCATTTTCTCTCACATTGATTCCATGCTTCAAGTCTGTCTCCCAAAGGCCAGGAGTCTGAATAATCTGCAAGAAACCAATACAAACATAATAAACGATAAACACTCATAATATGGTAATTTAATAATATTTATCAAGTAAAAAGTATGGAAGACATGTTCAAGAAGTTTCCGTGTGACTTGCGGAAGGAAACAAAAACGTGACCGAAGTTACTTTTCGTAACTTACGAAGGACCGTTTGGAGTCCGCTTCCTCTTGTGTAACAACTTGGCTTTCCTGCAGAAGGGAATCATTAAAATTAAAATAGTATTCTTCAAGAAACCATTCTCAAAACTCTCTTTACATAAAGTGACTCCTTGCCAACTCCTAACAACAATGAGAAGATGCTCCATAATTAATGACTACTGCTGTCTCTATAAGACCACAGCTGGCATGAAACCAGCAACAGGTAGCTCTAACTTTTTAGTGGAATTTTGCTTTCTTTCACTTATTCTTCTCCTGCATTTCTCCCCTCTCCTCCTATTTTCATATACCAGCTTCACCTTCAGTCTCCATCAAACTCCCCCTTCTCAGACCTACATGATTTGAAACCAGTAACACATGTACAGAATGATAAAATCCTGACAGAGTTTTGATGAATGTAGATATGTCAATGGCCAGCCTCTCCCAAATGCATTTCTCATTCCCTTTCTGTCTCCTTCCCCATGTCTTTTAACAGGCAACCATAATAAGGACATCATAGAGTTCCAGTCTCATTTTGAAGCAATTCAGGGACCAGGGATATCTTGAAGTTTGATAGCATCTCATGTGTAGAGGGGCATAATGAGTGTCTTCACAATTATTAGTCATAACCATTAACCCATCCACTTACAAATGATCTTTGCTGGAACTACCAGTCAAGTACCATTTAGTTTGATGAAAATTCACAAGAAAAACTAACATACTAATAACTAGGGCTGTCACGATAGATCGATGCATCAATACCACTATCGATAGTTTTTTTTTACCATCATGATGCATTGCCAAAATATTTTAAAGGGGAAAGGTCCCATTGGATTGAGGCAAGTACAGTACAATACAGTTTGTCCAGGCAGGGAAGGGAAGAAGCGGCATGACCTGCATGGGCGAGCAAATTCTTATCACAATCAAATTCTGGAAATGCTGGGACAGACTACATGAAAAACAGGAAGGGAAAAAAAAGTCTGATTGGAGACAGGAAGTGAGAAAGGATAGGGGGAAGACTGAGAATATATTTTTCTCTTCTGTTTCTGTCTTTGGGTCAATCTCATCAGGTGCATGCTGCAGAAGTGGACTGTTCTTATACTCCCATGATTACAAAACCTACATTAATCGCCTCTCTATATTCCTGTTAATCACTTTAGTAAGCAGGCTTAACTTTCTTAATTTTTAACTTGCCTTGGGGTGTTTTATTTCTACTTAAGGTGAATTGAAAGTGAATGTTTTACATGGACATTGCTTATTCTAGGGCTGTACTGATGTTTCAGCTACCACCAGTATGGCACCATCAGCAGGTTTCCTATCTGCCGGTGCCAGTATCCAAAGACAGTGCAAAATGAAGAAAAAGGAGAAAAAATTCCGTGAATGGAGCTTGGCAGCTGATTCTCAACAGAAAAAAAAATTAAGACTGTCCTGATGCATCCATCGATGAATGGATGCCATCTTCGATAGTTGGAGGCATGGTAGGTTTCATTACTCTTTGTGAAGGTCATACATTCCCCTTGCACCCCTGATTAAAAGCATGAGATTTTGGAAGCTGGATAGAGGTCCATGCTCTGATCGTGGCGAGAAAAGATGGAATCCTCCAGCACCCCCCCCCCCGAATGCATCGATACACTATCGATAGTTTAGGTCAATGCATTGATGTTTCGAAAACTGCTATCCTGACAGCCCTACTAATAACAATCCACAAGTACCAACTAAGTGCAGTAACGTTGGACATAAATTATATTAATATGCAAGTAGACACAAGACATCAAAATGAAGTGAAGCACATGTAATGCAAGGCTGTTGATTTGAAGGCTAGGTATGCAGTTGAGTTAACATCCCTTTGATTGTGTCTTCACTACACCCATCACAATTAAAAACTTCTCTAAAGGGACCTTGGCTCATGTATTTATGCCTTTGGTTTCATTATTCTATTCATACCACTGATTGAAAGCAGGAAGAGCCATGAAATGGGCCATAAATTCACATTAGACTTTGTCTGATCTCAAGATTAAAGAATATAACAAAAGGAACTTAAATTAAGAAAGTAAAATTATTTCACATGACATTGTGTGAAATCTTCCAAAAGAATACATTAGTCCTATTGTTATAAAACCTAATTCCACAACGTTTTATAGTTTAAAAAATTAGGGGTGAAGCGAAACATGTATATAACACTCCCATTCTCATCTCTACTAAATATTTGGCACCTTAATTCCTCTCATCTGAATTTCAAGTATGAATTTGGAGTCAGCTGTCTTCTCATAAAGTTTCTTCATCACAGGTATAAGCTTCTGGAATAAACTAGCTTATAAAATATAGAATACTTAGACCCACAAAGATATAGAAAGAGTTTCTATAGGGATATTGCAAAATCTATTAAAATTTACACCTTGTATTCCTAACTCATGAGAATAGAATAGACTAGAATAAAAAATTGCTGGGAGTGCGAGCTGCAGGAACCTTATCAATTTTGTTGCCAACAAGCATTTTGACAACATCTGTCCTCGTGGAATATGTCTCCAGCTCATTAAGCCATGCTTCCAGACGGGAGAAAGTGTTTCTTGATGTAACATCATAAACCAGAATTGCTCCTTGTGCACCTCGGTAGTAACTTGGAGACAGGGTCCGAAACCTCTCCATACCAGCTGTGTCCTGTCAACAAGTAAACAAACATGTAATGACATTAGACACAGAATAAGTTAGAGCTAGGTCTCCATCCCAATTTACAGAATTGGTGCTACAGGTTAACTCTTTCCATGGCAAATTAATATGGAAGCGGTCAGAGATGCACTGAACTCAAACCAAAACTTGCTAGTAACTGAGGCTCTGAGCTGTACTCCAGACTGGATAATAGTTCCTTCTTTCCATTGTACTAGTGTTTCCCGTCAATTCTTTGCTGCACATGCTGCAACAAGCTTTGAATGAATTTCAAATCATGTCTCCAATTGGAGAGGCTACTATGGAAAGGGTTAAACTGTACAGGTTTTTATTTTCTCTTTGTTCATGACTGACTTCCAATTAAATGGAATGGCTTTGACTGAAGAATCATGGCATGCAGTCATGATTCTCCAGTATGGCATTAGACTCAGATCATTGAGAGGATCTCATCAATTGTATGCCTAAAACAGATCTTATCCAAAAGAGGTAACCTCCTGGTTTTCCAGATATAAAATTGCAATTAAGTGGAAAACAAAAATAAGGTAAGGGAGACATGAAATTCATTTACCTTCCTATCTCAGGTAGGGTGACCTCCCTTTCTTGATTGTGCCATTATGGCCATGAAGTTTTCATGTGGGAATATTCATTAAAATTACCCTGATCACCCTAGTCTCAGACATCACACACATAGAGATGCATCAACAACAATGACCAATCATATAAGATTTAGAATCCATTTCAGAAGGGAAGCCTACTGAGAACAAAACAAGTAAGGTTCGGATTGGTGCAATGAGTGATTGATATGGAAAAGCTCAAGAAGGCTTCATAATATGCCCCTATAAGGTGAAACAAAGTAAAATCATACATCTTGATTCTTGCTAAAACATGTTACAGTAACAAAAAACCAGTAAACCAAAAACAAAAATTTCAGTCTGCATGCAGAATCAAGAGAGAGACTCCTTACCCATATTGCAAGGCGAACTGCATTTCCATCTAAGTTCAAAGTTTTTGTCTTGAAATCAACACCAATTGTTGATGGGAGGTTGGGGTCAAACTTGTCATCAGTAAACCTGAGAAGGAGACTGCAAAAAAGGCATTCAGAGGCATTAATGTGATTGAAATCATGGTATGTCGGCCTATAAGTGCCATTTCATGGTTCCATCAAGGCAGAAGTTGCCAGAGACAAGTACAAGTAGTAATTTCCTTACAATATCCTTCCATCACAAAGTCTAAGATGTTTTCAATGTGGGTAATTTACTGTGTCTTACAACTTCTATGCCATCTCAATGTTCCTTGAAGGCAATAAGGACCACTGAAGGCCACAGGCACTGGAAGGCAGAAAGATGGAAGTGACTCAGAAACATACCTAGATTTTCCAACATTGCTTTCTCCAATGATTAGTATTTTCAATGTAGTTAGAATTTCCACGTCTCCAGACATGTTTTCGTTGTTCTGCACAACACCTTAGAGGAAAGATATACAGAGTAAAAGCAAGAGTATGGATATACTACTGGTAGTAGCTTGCTGATAACTTAATTTTGGACTAAGTGCTGAATTCAATTCAAAAATGATGGCCTACGAACTCATTCCAAATACAGTCCATATCAATGGGCAAAGAATCCAGCTTAGTAGTAAAGTAGATCTCTAGTACCAAACGATATAGCAAGCAAGTTCGCACGACTACTTGTAGGCAACGGCCAAATGCCTTGGCCTATAGGCTAGCCCAAGACAAACGTCAAGGCCTACACCATATTTGGTATAATACGTAACCCTGAAAGGGCGAGTACGTCAACGTGATTGTGATGCGCGATATAGAGTGGACAGGTGCGCACGTAGCATGGCAACAAGTCCATGCTGAACGTCTTGCTCGCCATTGACGTCGCAGTGTTGCCATGACAGCAGCTCCTCTTCGAACCGTCCATTTGAAAATCAGATTTTTGCCTCTCGTCATTTAGTGACAGTGGAAGCAGAAACTAAATGAAGAATAGAAGTTCTGACCTGATCCTGAACCAAACTATCAGGACTATCAGAGATCGGCACAATCCTCTTGAATGGTTCAATGGAAACGAATTCCAAAGGTTTCCTCTTCCCGCGGACACCGTCGCCGACTTCTTTTTTTTTTTCAAGATTCAAGATAGTGATATCAAGAGGCGATTTCGCCCATTTCGATATCACGT